TTGCTTTTAGTAAACTGAATAATTAGGAATACATTTATTTAAGCAACTAATTTAGTAGCATACACTACTTGGTTTTTACTCATCACTAACTAAATCCAAGTGCCTACTACTGGCTTAGAATTATATATAGTTATGTATGGCAATTATGCTAAGAATTAAAATGGCGTGCGATTGTGAGGGTAGGGTGATTATGGTAGGATTATGTGGTATTGCTAAATCCCACAAACCTCCCAAAACACACTGTAGAAAATCAAACAATTCAATTGTGATTGACTGACTTGGTATATCAATAATTATGATTATAGAACTCTCATTTTCTTTAAAAAAAAAAAAAATTATAATTTGATGTTCATACTGTACTAACCCACTGTTTGTGGGGTTTACCAATACACAGATTGAATCTCTGGAAAATTGTGATTCCGCTTCCGTGAAATCGGCCACAAGTAAATTATTTTAGTATTAATAAATGCATGATTTATGTTGATTTATTGATTATGTTGTTGCTATTTTTTAACATTTAAATGGAAAAAAAATAAAAAGTGTAATTCATGGCTTTTTATTTATCTTTGAATATTTTATCATTGAATATTAATTCTTGCAAAAAGTAAAATGTAAATTGCAATTTGTTTGATGTTAGATTCCTTTTAAAAACTAAATTGTTTAAGATAAAAAAATGCATATATTGACTCAAGAAAATCAGTTTTAATACAGAATTTGATTATTGGGGAAATTCCTTTTAAAAAGTAAATTGTTTAAGATAAAAAAATGCATATATTGACTCAAGAAAATCAGTTTTAATTCAGAATTTGATTATTGGGGCCATTTTTACCTACCTGTCATATGGGGCCATTTTTAGCGGGGCAATTTTTTCCGGGGTCATTATTTCCGGGGCCATTTTTTCCGGGGCCATTTTTTCCGGGGGGCCATTCTTACCGTACACCGATTAAAACTATTTGATAATTCATGATTCATGAAAGTCCTTGTCAAAAAAGGTTATGAAAATGGTAAGGTAGCGCAACCCTGCAGAGTAGTAGTTGATGAGGATGACATCATTATATCAAGTAACCACAAACTACAGCTATTCAGTAGTGATGGAAATTTCATTAAAAGAATTGATAAACGAGAAGATGGAATTAACAATCCACATGGATTATGCATCATTTCACATCATCCAAGAAGAGTTGCAGTAGCAAATTATAATTGCACAACAGTACAAATGTTGAATTACTAATTATTGATAGTCCACTGGCCTACTATTGTTGTATGTTCTCACCAAATTTAAATATACAGATGTACAGTGTATGAATACCTACATCTTATATTTCATATCATCCACATAAAGTTGCAGTTGTGGAGACCTAACTACTGTATATAAACTCTTTAACTTATACTTGATATTGATACTATAGTCTACTGCCCTCACATGCTTATGTTGCATATTCATCCAATTTGTACACAACATATTATGAATACCAACAAACATTTATATTATTTAATATTAAATGATCAGTAACATGCATTGAATCAGACTCATTGCATCTTCATTTGTGTATTAAATATCCTAGAAAACATTCCTTTGAATTATATTTATGAATTTATGTATTACGAATTAAGAGACGCTTACTATATAATTTAAAAACAAAATTTAATGACAAGAAAGATCAACGTTTCGGGTCCATCTTGAGAATGGTTCCATGATGGACCCGAAACGTCGATCTTTCTTGTCATTAAATTTTGTTTTGAAATTCATTTGTATTGTGTAGTTTATTATGCTCATGGGAGCCAGCTATGTGTTTTTAGTAAAATGAATATAAAAAAACAGTAATGCTTAAGGTAATTTAGAAACAATATTTTAGAATAACATTTTAGATCATCTGATAGTAGAAGTCATTGGACATTTATGATTAGTTTTTATCACAATTAGGAAATAGTTTATTTATTTTGATCAAAAATGTTTGTGTGTGTGTGTCAAAGATGGTGGTTATACAGGGTTCTAAATTAGACTAGGTATAAAGAGAATTAAGGAGAGGAGGATGATTTACAGAATTTATACACAAGATCTTGTTTATTTAAAGAGATCTAAAATGTGTATAGGAAGTGTATGTACTAAAAATATTGCATTGTCACAATTGCTAAGATTGAAATAAAATTTATTTATATTATTTTAATTTTTATTTCATCTTCACCCAACAGCATACGTGTCAATTACAGGATAAAAATACATTTGACAATAAATCAGTATTTCAAAATAAAAATAAAAATATCAGTAACAATGTACAGTACACTAAAAAAATAATGATCTACAACATACTTGTGAAATGAAATGTGGCACTCAATATGGCCAGGCACCCCTCCATGTAGATCTCTGCCAAATGACTTGGTATCTGTAGCTGAATTTTCTTCATGCATATCTGGCTATTATTCTAACTATTCGGTTGATTAACCTAAATAAAAATTTAAAATACAAACACATAAGACATTGATCAATTTATATAATTAATTACACTTATAGTTTTTCTTTTTTAACTTTATACAAAACAATTAAATATTAAAACAGTTAAAACAACAAAAAATAATTTAATGCACAAAAATAATAATAAATATTATTTTTATTGTGTTAAAATTGATTATGCAAAATGTGAATGGGGCTGTTGGATAGTGTGCAGGACATCCAATCAAATTAAAAAACAGGAAAGAAATTAGTTAAATGCATTAAGAAAAAAATTAAAGAAAAGGAAGAGAGCATTAAGAACATGAATGAAAATACAGAAAAAGAAGCAAATAAGAAGAGATGGAGATTAAATAGATCGATAGTAAAAAGATTAAAGTAGAGATAATGCAAAATATGAAGACAGAAGAGAAATAGAGAAGACATTGACAGCAAATAGGGAAGGAAGGATTAGAGGAGATGGACAATGAGGAAGAGAAAGAAAAGGGGAGAGGAAGAATTTAGGGAAGAGAGAAGGAAAACAAAAGGAAGGAAAAGTGATTAAGAAAATAAAAGGAATAAAACTCCACATTGATAGTGATTATCTAGGGAAAAAAAATAATTTTTTTTTTTCAAAATATGTCTCTGAAGAATTGAATGCACAATGACTTAACAATCACTATCGTCCCACATTGTAAATTGTTTTCAGATAGTACTCAAATCTTGACCTGGATAATGTGTATTGAACTTTACAACAGTTCAACATTACTGCAAGTCACGCTTGATTGCACACACAAAGAAACAAGCACAAGCCTATACCAGGTCACATGACCTTGGAAAAACCCACACATTCCATTGAGACACTTTCTATGTGCTGTGTGTGGTTAAACTAAAGGTAAATATTTCATTTTTTAGGTACTTTAGATATCTTAAATAACTTAACAAATGATATACTGTATTTTCATAATTGTTATTTTACAATTACTCATTAGTTTAGTTAAAGAATTTGACACCAAGGAATATACGGTAAATGAGAGTGCAAGACAAAGGCGCTGTAATACAGTTGATAAAGTAAACATTATAAACTTGTGGCTGAAAATTAGCTGCCTGCAAAAAATTGCTGCACCCGCTATATTTCAATACTGTTACATTTTTTTTTAAACAACTATAAGTTTTCTAGCCTATTTAAGCATGCCAGAGTTCAAACAAATTTTCAATAACGGATCAAAAGAAAATCCTGGCAACTACCACCGAATTTCAGTTCTTCCTCTACCTGCTCTAGTTAGTAAAATTATTGAAAAATTACTTTGTACAGTAGTAGATAAATGCATTCTTGAAAAACTGAATTTATTTTGTTCAATTACCAGTATAGTTTTTGTGAATGCTGTAGTATAAAGTTATTTCTAATTAATTAACCGTTTTTCTATTACATTTTTATTCTATTTGACTTGCTTTTGTGAACACACCAATTCCATTGAGTGCCACCGTTCCGAAGGTGTATGTTCGAATAAATAAATAAATCTATACTTTACTTTATAACATTGATAAGATAACTGTTCTTTTGGAACTTTGAAGAATTTCATCTAGTCTTTAGTTTAATTAATATACTGTAATTGGTTTAATAAATAGGCTGTGTTTTGAGATTTACATGACAGTTTGAAACTTGCATGACAGTTCGTTCTCTTGGAATTTTGAATTAATTTATGGCAAATAAAGTGATGTAACATGTAAACGTTTTAGGAAAAAAGGTATCAATTTAAAAGCCACTAATCTATGAGGCGCCATCTGTTAACTTATTATTTAGCAAAAAATAACATGGCTTTTTACGTTATATATTTATATATTATTTTATATAATATATAATATTTTATATAATATATAATATTTTATATAATA